TCCACGCTTGTCCATGAGAATTCTCCATTTTTTCTAGGTGTTTCTATCTCCTGCAGAACGTCGGACGATCATGTCGTTAATGCGATTGTTGACATGTCCCAGAACATCCTCTCTCATTTCCTATAAAGAAATAAATTTTTTGTAGAAGAACGTCAAACATGTTATCTCTCGTATCTTATCGATTTATTATTTTTAAACGTATCTCTCTCTCTCTCTCTCTCTCTCTCTCTCTTTCTTTCTCTCTTTCTATCTCGGGCGCCGTCATTATCTTTTTTTTTAACGATATCAGCCCGATATAATTAATGAAACTAATTCACATTCCATTAAATCTAATTACGAAGCAAGCTCGAGGTATTCTTTCATACCTGTATTTTCTTTCGCAGTACATTAACGGTCGTTTCACGTAAAACATCCGTAGATGCGTTTCCGTTCGCTACTGAAAAAAGAAGTAGATATCTATAATCGTCCAGATAACGAAAGCAGATAATAAATATCGAATTAGCATGAAAGTAGGTTTGGCATATTTGTCGAGAACTTGGTGTAAACAGTCATAATATAACTTTTGTCAATCAACATGGTCGTTGTTGATTTTCTGCAAAAACGAAATCTCTTATGAATGAAGGAAACTGTTGTAATAATTTTTCTAAATTAAAATTTTTACTTTTAAGATTATTCTTTATTCTTAAGATTATTTTTGAATTGAGTATTATTTCGGTCTCATGTTTTACTTATGTTTTTGCTTATTGTTTAGTGTACAATTTACAATGCAAAAGTTTATTTTGTGTCTTAGATCTATAATAATAATAATAATCGAATGCAGATATACATAAATAAATGATAATAATAATACAATAAAGATATAAATATCCATAGAGGTAAAAAACACTAATTTATATCTATCTATATAAATGTATAAATATATAAATGAATTTTTATACATCTTTATTTTATAGATATAAAATAATTATTTCATAATTTTATGGTTCTTTTGAAGTTAAAATAATTGAGAGACTATTTATTATTTATTTTATTTATTTTTATTAATTTTTCAAATCCAGAATTTTCGAGAATTCCTTAAAAATTAATTTCGACGATAAAAACGATTAATAAGAAAGTAGCAAGTCATTTGTGTTAAGCACTTTTGCATTATTAAACAAATTGAATAAATTCCGTAACGCAATTAAATCCTAATAACGCGTAAGTATTTGTCGACGCTCAATTATCAACTTTGAAGTGTTATCGCAATTGTAGAGAGGTCTCCAACTCCGATAGATAAAAACAGTATAGTAAATAAACAAAAGCTTAGCTGGTTGAGGATATTCATAGTACATAAAACATGAGATCGAGAGTAATAAATAGAAATCCGTTAAATGTCGTATACAAGAAATTAATATTTTATAATGAAATATATTTAGCGTGTACGTTATTATGTATATTTTGATTTCAAATTGCACACAATTTCCTTTAAAAGTATTTAATAAACGAAAATGAAATAAATGATGAGTGTTTCTCGATAAATTTCAATGAAAAAAATTTTTTAATGAAAATCAATATTTAAAAATTAATAAATGTATGTTGATAAATGAAAAATTTATATATATATATATATATACATAAAATAGATTCAAAGAAGACGTTTTATTTATCTATTTTAAATAAAAAATTATAAATATTAAAGGCTGAAGATGCTAAAGATGCTATGTAAATTTTAATTTTATCCCACGAAAGCTGTGTTCCAAATTTCACTAGTATCAAAAATATTTAGTTTGTGTCGTATTATAAATTTTCAATGATGAATTTTGAAACGTAGTCATAACACACAATTTAATTATTCTACAAATCAGGATTATCATTCTAGGATTTAACCGAGCTATCCGCTCGCGTCTTTACCCCTCTCGTGAAAGCCTTTCGCGACGTTGGTGTGGGTTTCCTCGGAATGTTCAACGTTTAACGTTTCCGTAACAGATCCCATGGTTAACGAGTGCGGACTCAACAAGAAGGATCGGCAAATTTTACGGAAATTTTACGGAAATTTTCCCACGAGGATATTACACTCCCAGATATAACTCTGTTCCACGCTCTTGCGGTCTTCCTAGAAAGTCAACTGCTCCACATCACAACAGGAGTTCGTCGAATTGTAGATTTTCGTTCGCCGTAATTCACTCAATTATATAACGACATAATTGTAAATAATTGATAATTATATATAGTAATATTATAGTATAATATTGTAGACAATTGATAATTATAATAATATGATAATATATTACGATTGTAAATAATTGAAACTTTTAATTGACGATTATTAATTTTTCTTGATGTATTTTCACGATTTCAACGGCGCCTCAACGACGACGAACTGCTCCCGTCGTGATTTCGATCACGACTTCGCCTCTCGATCACAACTGCGCCCGCATCACTTCGTGCACGCTCCGCGACTATCTGAGTCTAAGCGACACACGATCGCCGTCCATTACCCCGCCATGGGTACAGTACGCACCGATCGAACCTCAGAGGACATGTGTACTTCTGCAGATAAGCATTCGAATGAATACACATGTGATACACGTCAGTCGATTGTTTTCCACGCGTCCATTAGTCCTCCCGATTAGTTGTTCGAACTTAGGAAGAACACGTGCACTAACGAACACGCGTACTAACGAACTTCTTGCTTCTTGATAAGGAAAACTTAATGAAATTCACGCTTTTCAAAGCGACAAAAGATTTTTTTTTTTTTTTTTCAATATTTTAAATATGCTGTAGACCCTGTTGGAAGAATATGAAACAAACAAAATTATAAACAAAATTATATTTTATAAGGCATACATTCTATTCTGTGTATTAATATAGTTTTTCGATAACCGATTTCCAATGATAAAAAATAATTGCAATATTGTGAAAAATACACAATCATCATCATACACAAGTTAAAATGATTATATATTACAATTATTATTTTTAAAATTTTCAAAATTTTATGCTAAATTTTCCTTAAAAAAACATGTTCAAAATAAGACTATATATTTAAAACAGCGAATGTTTAAAATGTATTTAAATCATGACGATTTTAATGAAAATTAAAATTTGGAAAAAGAGGAAGTATTTTTCGAGATAAAATTGTATTTCTGTCACTTATCAATTATAATACAAACCAAACATTATAAAAGTTGTAAATGTTAATTTATAAATTTTTATTTTATTTCTCAATCTTACAATACTTTTTAATGTATGTAGGATATTGTTTATTGCATTATTTTTCTTTTCTTTTTATGAATAAATAATGCCGCTTATAATTTTTGAATAAATTGATTGAAAATAACAAGTTTTTGATAAGTTTTGATAAGTTTTTGATAAGCGAAAAAAAGACTGTAATATTATATTTTTTAGTTAATTTGCATTTTATTTTAATAAAATTCTAATTTGTCACTTAATTATAAAGATATACATTAATAAAAGCGTGAAAGTTGCGATACACTGATCACCTTTGACACGTACGATAAGGAAAATGACATTAAATCAATGTCAAAGAATTTTTTATCTCAATATGATTGCAAAAATGGCGGAAAAATCTAATCATATTTTAATTGTATTTTTGTTATATATTTTTGCCTTTAGATTTCTTGATATTTTTCGCACACGATTTTATTTCCTTTTTTTCCTATCTCATTTGTAAATCAATTCGTCTTCTCGGATTTCACGTTCGAGCTAG